CACATCTTCGACTCTTCATCTTATGACTACCCAGCATCTCCCAGGTGCGCACATCTTGGGGATTCTGGTTTAATTCCTGACTTTCTGGTAGCTTGAACAGCCCTCATCCTGCTATGGCACTCACGAGCCAGATGTCTCACCATTCTTCACCCCTTGCAAATTACTCAGCAAAGATGACAAAGACCTGCATAGAGAACAATGTCTGCATATAAACCTCTCCTCCATGGTCCAGTCTTTTCCTCACCTGCTCCCAAAACTGGCTCTGGAGCCTGCTTTTCATGCCATTTGCTAACTCCATTGACCTGTTGTTTTTGTTTTTTTTTTATCATTCAGACATCAGTCTGCTTTCTCCTTTCCTCTACGTTCTGGTATTCAAAAATACACCTCACACTTCAACTGTTTTTGTATCCACTAAACTAACAAAATGCTGTCTCAACCCCATTTCTGTGTCCAAACAAAACTTCCACTGTTGAGCTTTCACACACTAATAAAAATCTCTTGCTGCCTCAGCTGGACAGCTGCCCTCTTCCGTGCACTCGTCTGGCAAAAAGGTAACCTCTGCAAAACAGCTCTACTCAGCAGAGATGATATTCTCACACTAAGGATCTCCTGAAGAGAAATTTATTTTAGCCTTCTCCATAATAAAACTATGTTCTCTTATTTCTTTCCCTGCATATTTCACCCAGTGTTTGATCTCACATTATCTTTGTAATGTTCCTCTCCCAAATTGGAAGCTTTTTTCTTCCATCACACTGTGGAAACAGAGCCATACAAATATTCTGTAGCTCAATTACAAGTAAATATATTGTCATCCAGTTTTCACATCCCAGCACACAATACTACTGACAGAGAACAGCATGAGTTGATTTCTTGTGCTCCCCATAGCAGTGGTATCATTCTGACAGTTGATTTTTGTACTAAATTCAGTACAGATTATTTCACTTTATACACTTGCCTACACATTCAAGCTGATAGATACTTTCTGAACACACTGAAGTTCCTCCTGTGTTGTTAGCCTCTGCAGCTTCCTTCTATACAAGTCAGATACCAGACTTTCCTTTCACATGTTTTCTCTAAGGATTCATTTTACACATAATTTCAAAAAATGAGAGTCAAGAGCACCGTATCAAAAAATATACACGTAACAGGGAAAGGATGATCATGTCTTTGAATGAAGGGACAGTGAACAGTACATTTACCTGTACAAACCTTTTCTCATTCAATTATTTAGCCCTTACTAACTGTCTTCTTTTATAGACTCCACAGTTTAGGTGAAAAAGAATAGGAAAAAAGATCTCTAGTAGAGATCACTAGTATCTTCAAAGCAGTCAATCTTGACTTATTAATTAGATGCCAATCAGACTTAGTTGGGAAAAAAATCAACTTAAATTCCTTTTTTGAAATAATATATGTATATGAAATATGGACAATTTAATTAAATTAGTAACTCCAGCTACTTCAGTGTACACTATCTCCCTCATGAGGAGAGGCTGAGAGAGCTGGGACAGTTTAGACTCAAGAAACAAACTCAGGAGGATCTTATCAGTGTGTATAAATACCTGCTAAAAAGGTGTAAAGTATACAGAGCCAGACTCTTCAAATAGACAAGAGACATAAATTGAAATATTTGGAAAGTCCACTAAAACTCAAGAAAAAACTTTTTTACTATGATAGTTGACAAACACTTAACAGGTTGCCCAGAGCAGCTGGAGTCTCTATCCTTGGAGATATTCAAAACCTAAGTGGACACAGTCCTGAGCAGCCTTCTCCAGTTGACCCTACAGGGAATTTGGACTAGACAATCTTCAGAGGTCACTTTCAACCTCAACAATTCTGTGTTTACCTAAAACACTTATCTATATTGAAATTATGTTTCTCTATGGAGATTTGGATGTTCTTACCTGCAAGTTCACTGCATCCTGGTAAGTCAGCTTCACTGCAGCTGGGATCTGGGAGTATACCAAGTGATTGTACTTGGGAATCAGACCCATCAGATCAGATATCTGCCGTATCACAATGCTGTATGCTCTCGCTAAACTGCTTGCAGATGTTAAATAGCTGCTTGCATTGCTGGCTTCAAGTGCTGCAGCTGCTGCTGCAGCACTCGTACTGATGGTACCACTCCGACGTAGGTTTGATGGATCAATGTAAATCAAGCCTGCTGAACTTGCTAAACATACAAGAAGGTATGATATTAATGACATTTATTTAACCTTTGTGATGTTTTTTCTGTATTGACTAATATCATGAACATTTCTGGAAATAATCTTGTAAATACTACTGACATCACAACTGTAACTAGCATACTCATATCTTAAGAACTAGATTAGATCTTTCCATTTTTAAATTCAAAATCGGAACTAGCACACTCAAGATACTGTCCTTCTAAGGCAAACAGGTAACATTTCATCCTTACGAGGACAATCAAAAACAGAGGAAGGAACAAAGCCGAGTTAACTGACATTCGTGCACGCATTTTACTCGGACTTGCCTGCTGGAGCTGACGTACTAGAAGGAGTAGTACTAGTAGTTCTCTGGTTTTGGGTATTACGCACAGCCCATTGCATGGAGCGGGGAGCTTGGGCAGCACCATTGGCATGTGAGCTATTTGTGGTTCGTTCCAGAGGCTCATCGAGCATGAAGGTCTCCTGCTCTATGTCATCACTCTGACTGCTGCTGCTATCAGAGTCACTGGAGTCATTTGACTGAGAGTCATCTTCAGAAAAAAATGCTGGAACGCTGCTAGCTCCTATTGAGGAAAATAAGCAATAAACAGTAACAGACAATTGCACTTGTGGGCACGTATACATGTATTATGTCAGCATTATAAACTTCTTCCATGAGAAGAACCTACACGTATTAAAAAGTTTCAAGTACCATTACTAAAAATCTTTAATAAATTATAATTGTAACACATACTGATTTTCCATAGGTTTCATGAAAAAGCAGTTAAGTCTACTTGTATTTCAAAAGACAAATTCAGAAATAATTTGATTTAAAAATTCTTCACTGATTCTGCTCCCAGGCAACTAGTTCTAAAAATTATGCCTCTAAACTGGACAGTAGAGCAGTTGCTTTCAAAAAGCCTTAAAATGATTGGTCGGGTTTTCTGTTTTGTTCTAAACCACATCTAACTTCTACACTAAAAATGAGTGAAAACATTTCATTTCACTTTACAAGAGTGACAAGTTATCTCTGGCTAACATATGCAGAAGCTCTGTTAGAGCAAAAAAGACAAGGCCACATCTTAAGGCATCTCCTTGTCCAAAAAGTCTGCATAGTAGCTTACAATTACAGGCAAAGGAAAAGCAAAGGAAAAACAGGAAACGTGGCGATCGCAGAGGTGGGTGAAGAAGTTGGGTGAAAAGAAAAAAGAAATGAAGGGGAAAATAAGATTACAAGGGAAAGATATTTGTTAAAATGCCCTAAGCAGGTAATTCTCGCTCTGTCCAATATAGCTGTGAAGTAGCAATTTCTGCAGTACACTTCTGGAATGTTGGATGTAGTCCAGCTCCAAAGGCAAAGAATAACTTTTTTAGATGAGGCCAGTTCTGCCCTTGTTAAACCTATATTCAGTCACTAACGCATTTCTTTTTCCTGTACGACCTAATCCTAACACCTACCTTTAAACAGTGAAATTGAACACAGGATGAAGTGGCGTACCTGCTTCTGACCCAGCAGTCGCTGCGGTGACAACACTTCTGCGCCCACTCGCATTGTCCTGATTGCTGTGGTTACTCTCACTGTCACTTTCTGTTTCAGCAGCAGCCAGCAAATCCAGCTCCATATCGCTGCCTAGAGAAACAACATAAAAAACATCTCATGTTTAGAAAGAGAAAACAAATAGAATGACTGCCATGACTCACCTAAGACACATTAAACAAAATGCAGAGCCTCTTAGTATAGCACAATTTAATGGATATGCAGGAAGAAGTCACAAAAGGAGTGCAAACATGCAGCATAATGTGGAGCATATTTTCTTATTTTCCAGCAACTAGCAACTCCTGGCCCTCTCTCTGTACTGTACATATACATTCAGCATACACACTGAAAACTAAGACTTTAAGGATTCAGAATTAGTCACTCAAGCCAAAAGACTCCAAAACTCTTCATGCACATGCATTAGGACAATTAACCATATGCTATTTCAAACAAATATCTAAAGAATACCTGAAAACTTAAAAAAAACCTCCAATAAAAAAATACAAAATGTTAAGAATTAAATGTTCTGAACACTCAGCAAGCAAATAAACATATTTCCTGTGCTGTAAATGGGTTGACTAGCAACACAAGGCACAGTCAGAAAGAGAAGACAATAATATTTTTTTTAATCATAGCTTTGGGCCATCTAATCCCACACTAATAAAGGTAAGTAATATTAATGGCAAGAATTTTCCTACATAATGGATTCATTTTGTCTACAAAATATTGAACCATAATTTAGTATTTTGTGATGGGCTTGAAAACTGGTTCACCATGATTCAGATCACTTTTGAGAACGTATCTACCGTAACCACTATTCTATCATTAGCCATTCAAGAGCTAGGCTATTGTTTTATCCTTCAAATAGTTTAGGTCAACAACATTTTACAGTAGCAAATACAAAAGGCAAAATGGGATATTTTGTTTTATATTAAATGGACATACATACGTAAATGTAGCCTGACCATGAGCCAACAACGTGCCTTTGTGGGCCTACTATGAGTTGTCTACAATTCTACCCACCTCATAGAATCATAGAATACCAAGCTGGAAGGGACCACAAGGATCAGCTAGTCCAACCTCTCAAGGTAAAAGTATAGTTTAAATGAGATGAGTCGGCAGCCTGTCAAGCTGAACTCTTAAAACTGACCAATGCAGGGGAATTTAGCACTTCCCCTGGGAGATTATTCTAATGTCTTTTACCATGAGACCAATCAAAATTTCTTCTGGAGTTCAGTCGGAATCTCTCCAGAAGCAACTTGTGTCCATTACCCCTCGTCTTTTCCATGTGACTCCTTGTGAAAAGGGAGTGTCCCTTGTCTTGGTAGCCACCCTTCATGTACTGGTACCTGGTAATAAGGTCCCCCTAAGCCTTCTCTTCCCAAGGCTGAACAGGCCCAGCTTTCTCAGCCTTTCTTCATACGGCAGCCCTTCCAGTCCTCTGATCATCCTCACTGCCCTTCTCTGGACCTTTTCCAACCTGTCCGCACCTGTTTTGTATAGTGTATAGTATCTCCTTTTGTAAGATGCATGGTCTGAAACTCTTGGATTCTCTCTATTCATGCAAGTCTCCCAAATCACTATCACTACTGACTCCAAAGATGCCTTTTGTTTTTTATGCACGGTTTATTCTTCCAAGCAGTAATGTCCATGATGTACATTATACGTACCATCTTCATCATGTTCGTCATGTTGTCCTTCTGCTTCAGCATTTTCTTCACCATGCTCTTCCTGTTCATCATGATGGTCTTCTTCACCAGCCACTCCCTCGACCACCTCAACCTGGAAGAAGCATTGTAATGTTATGCTAGAATACCAGAGATAAATCTACATGTTTTCAAGAACTCAGTTGAAAATTTGATTTAAAAACTAAGAAACAAAAAAAACACATCTAAGAAAGATGACCTCACAACTGAATCAATGTGAATAGAAAATGAAGTTACAGCCACAGTAGTTGTACATGGTTTTATAGTCCACAGTGTTGTGGGAAAAAAAAGATCAGGACCACAAATAAAACACAGCTTTGAACATTAGATTTAATGCTGAAAGAGTAAAACTGACTATAAAACCTAGAATTAGTTTCTAAATATTGAAGAACTACCAATCTGGCAAAAGACCATCTAGTTCTCTAATACAACCTACATAACAGCAACCATGTGCTAAGAGACTTGAAAAGTGATTTCACAGGGAGTTCTAATACAGTGTAAGTTTATATATAAAGGAAATTACAGGTGTATTTATTGTAATCATACTGTAATTCTGTCAAATGCAAGGCATTTAGTATACTCTGAAACGATTAATTATTACTAAATACAAAAAAAATTATTACAAAGCTTTGTTAAACAAAATGTTTATGGCATGGTAGGACTTACTGAAGTACTATTCAGTATCTTCTGCAAATCCAAGGTCTTCATGCATGGATTTCTGGTTCAGATGTTAAAGCTTGTGCTAACACATTAGGTGCTACACTGAGAAGAGAAATAGTACAAAAAAAGAAAACTGACCTCTTCTACATCTGCTGAAACGATATCATCTTGCTCTTCATCCCTGCCACGAACTGGCTGTGACTGGCTAATTCGTCTTTGCTGAGGATTCCTTATGATGTAAGATGACTGAGATTGACTAGAACTTAAAAAGAAAAAAAGTGGATTTGGACCTCTGAACATTACTGAACCTAAATTATTGTAGAAATCTGTCAGTAGGAAACCACTTCCAAAATGCTTAGCCAGCATAAGAAACCTTACCATATTTCTGTTAACGAAAAGCCAACAAAAACCCAAAACAAAACCGCCTTTAACAAGTCTTTGAGAAGAACTAATAGTGAGCTTTAGCAAATTTTACCTGCTAGACTGGTCAGATGATGGTCTTGGTGGTAGAGGCTCCACAGAAAACAGTTCTTCACTTCCCTGCATGGCATCTATACTAGTGCTAGCAAGAGTAAAGGGTGCTGTAGGACGTGCAATTCCCATCCTAACTGGAATAATTAGAGATTCTGCTACATTGCACAACTCTTCAACAGCATAGGGCAATAATGCCTGGAATACGCGTTTACATTTTCCAATTGGCTGTGGAATAAAGTTGCTAGGGAAAAGAAATAGAAAAATAAAGGTCAAATAAGTCTTAAAAAAAACACAAAACAAACCATAATTATGGGAATATAATTTTAAAAAAAAGTCAAGACAATGATCTTTAACAGATAAATACATTTGAGTGTGTATAGTAACAATATGCATAGTTATTGAAGACAGTTAAAACATCACTCAGTAATTTGAGACTACAGCTGGATATCTAAATTATTACAGATGAACAACAATAGATTGTAATTTTGATTAACATGTTAAAAAAAAGCCTACTTCCAAGAATCTTAATATTTTAAACAGAAAGTTTCAGTATGAACATGTAAGTTTAACAAGCGTATTAAAAAGCTACATGATATACCAGCAGCCACTGTGCAGTCTTGAGGTCTGCACCTTTCCACGCAATGCTGGCTACAGACCGAAATTCAGATGTTTCTGCCTACTGTCGATGTGTATTAGCTCATTCATTAAGAAAATAAATACTTAAATTTAACGAACGAAAACAAGCAGAAAACCCAACCACCACCAAAACCACCACAACCAACACAAACTCTCCCCACCACTTACTTTTTCTTTTTGGAGGAAGCCATTTCTACACTAAGAATGACAAACACTCTTGCCACAGAACGCAGGAATCTCATTGTAACAGCAATAGCTTCTTCTCTGCGTCCTGGTGTATACTTGTTTTGTAATTCCTTTACCAGAGTACCCAGCAAAGTATCTAAGAGCTGTAGAAACAGGTCATTACAACCCCATAATGGTGTGCAATTTAGAAGCATGAAACAAGACAGATTGAGATTCAGAGGGAGACTACAGACATAGCAGTATGAATTCACAAAAACATGAATAACTAGAAGTTATCTTCAAATTTGTCTCCAAGCTTATCACCTGAAATACACTATAACATCACATTATTCAGAATGTCCTAGTAAAAAACAACTGGGAGGGCTTACCAAAATGTCTGCTGTACACTTGACAATAAGGCAGTGGGTAAAACAGTCCAAGCGAATAGTTCCACTTTGCTGATTAAGGTAAACTTGTTCTTCAGGCAGAAGATGACCTATCCTACTACTTGCACTAAGACTTGGAAAAAACAAAAAGAAAGGAAATAGATTTCATGTAAGCCAGCAGGTCTTCAAATATCAGAACAAACTTTACATTGACAACTATTTGTAAATACACACGGGTCTTTATTTTCCTGGGAGCCAAACATGATCATGGACTTCAGTGCATTCCAGTCTTGCAGAACACGTTCCAAAGCAAGCTGGGCAAATCGAGGAGGTTCTAAATCATGATCAGGCATATCAGAATCTAAAAAGACAAAAAAGCCATATAAGAAAGGGTTAACAAAATACAGAATTTGCCATTTATTTCACTGAAACAGCTCTTACCTTCAGGATTTGCAGTTTTACGATTACGATCTTCCCTAATTCTAGGTGGTCTGTACTGGCAGTGTTCCACCGTTTGCCTGGCAACTGTCTGTACTAAAAACAGCAGCAGATGTTCTCCCCTGCAGTGAAAAAATGATTAGAGGAGATATGATATACCACATATTTAAAAAGAATACAAATTATTCTGCCTTAGTCATTGCAAATATGAACTTGCCTGCTATTTGGCATGGTAACAAGATTTGTGGTTGTAAGCAGGCGGTAAAGGAGATCAAGGCGAGCAGACTTTTGTCCAGCAATTAGTGTTTTACACTTGCACTTTTCCCAGCAATCACAGTAGGCTGTTGGAGATGTTCGTTTGAGCCTATAAGAAACAGAAAATGTGAGGTGCAACACTGTGGTATATATTAATATAACAAATATTTTCTACACAGGCTGAGGGTGTTAGTGTACACATTAAGATCCCTGCTAGTTTTTTTGTTTATTATAGTAGCAAGATGCCAAAACCCGGCTTAAGAAAGAAATGCCGTTTATGTATGGCAACACTTGGCATTTGCTATTATTGTTTCCTCCACTCATTTTAAGAGAGCCGTTTCACTACAGAGTTTTTCATAGTACTTTATTAAAACCCAGCCAGGGCCATTTATTCTTCCCCCAAATAGCCTCCAGCTAAGAAAGTTGGAAATCCTCATGACACGCAGCAAAATCTCAGTAATTGATACAATGCTGAGAATATCTGTATAATTCTATATGTTAACTTATTATATCAAGTATATTAATGCTGTAACATTTACACCCTCTAACAGTGGCCCAAAACATCTGCAGCATCAAAGCTTTAGCCAGGTTGATCAGAGGCATCTTGACTGTTCAGTTATCTTAGAGATCAATATGCTACACTTCTTTCTGAAAATTTAGAAGAATGATCTGTCATCAAGATTTACTGGCTTCAGAAAACTCCTGGAGGCATCCACAATGAAAACATGGCACTATACAGATATACTATTCTTAGAATATTAAGCACTTTGAGGGTGTTAGACTTACTAATTTACTCCAAATACTACAAAGTGAAAAGTACAAAGACTGCTTCAGGTTACTCTTTCAATTCTGACCCATAAAATAAACCTTACAGAGCAGAAGGAAAAGAAGGTATTTAAAATACTTTATTATTTTTCTGTTCTCTAATATCTGAACACTTCAAGCAAGGGAAAAAAACTATTAACTACCAGAAAAAAAATGATAGTACAAAATAATGATTTTATTACAAGAAACAGTACGCAATACTTACTTGCAGTCATGTCCTTTGTGACAGACTCTTGCACATTCTGTGCAACAACAAAGAGATTCCAATAGGCCACATGTTCGGCATTCAAATATATCCTAAAAAATTTACCAAAAATATTATGCATAGCTTTCTCCCTACAGCGCTTGCAATCTCACAGCATTTGAGGTTACAATAAAATTGCACTTGCTCAAACTGATGCCTTCCCTTAGAAGTAAGTCAATTCTAGAAAGTGAAATTTTGTTGCTAGCTAGATTACTCAGTGTTTTCAAAGAGCTGCCTCCATCAAATTTTTTGCCAAAGCTGGCCAGAGGAGGAAAACCACACCCATAAACAGCCAGATTCTGACAATCCCAGGCAGCTGAGAGACCAAAGCAACTAGGGTCAAAAATAACTATACCAGACTTAGAAGTTATAGTAATGAAAACAATGCAACTGTAATAATTTAAAAATTACATTAGTAGACTAGCACAATACATGGTTGAAACACATTCCTTCTACTTAAAAAGAAAAAAAAAAAGCCTTACTTGGTTAATATGTTCTGCACCAGTCCATGTAAAACTGCACGTATCATTACAACACAAAACATACAGAGGAGAGTCATCTGGATTGGTACCAGAAGGACAAACCATTCCCATAAACACATCATCTTCTTTTTCACTTGAAGTTGCTTCAGCTAAAAGAACAATAGAATATCAGTGTTAAAAACAACCCCCAAAATAACAAAACCCACCAACACTTGACATACGCTTGCCATTACAAAATCCCATACAGAATTAGACGTTTGAGTAAATTCTCTGTCAGTTTTTGGAGAAAGCTTTCTGCTAGTCACATTACAGGCATTTCTTATAGAAGTTGCTCCAAATTCCCAAATGAAAAGCACAACTACCAGCTCTTCCCCAGTTTTATTCACTGATGTTCTAATCAATTCAGTGGATCATCAATTTGAAGGATTAAAAAATAATCTATGGGTGATATTCTTCTAAGGAATACACATAGTCCTTTAGTCCACTTGTCACACACCAATTAAAATCTGTTTAAGTTTCTCCTTAATTTCAAACTTCACATATTTCTCTTAAATAATTAAATACTGACATCAAAAGAGAGTCATAAAAATATATGTTTGTATAGAAGTCTTTTTAGGACCAGGATCTAGCTTGGCATTCTGCTTTATCATAGAAGTTTTTTTCAATTCAAATAAAGAAGTTCCAGGTGATACCTTTGTGCTACTGAAAAATGGTCCAGTAATCCACTGATGTTTGTAAAGCAATGAAATGCTGAAAAGACTATAAAGAACACAAAAGCAATAATATTGATAGAAATCTATCATAATACACACTACAAAAGAGGGAGATATTCCATAATAGCAAAATTTCCAAAATATACAGTGTTTTGGAAAGAGGTGTTTACCACCATCACCAGCTGCTCTATCACATATAATTTCACACATAAGAAAGCACTATTAATAATAAACCTGCACACATGCCAAACTTTAGAAGGAAACCACAAGCTACTAATTACTGAAACTGGTGTACCTTTAGCAATTTTCTGTGCAGTTTCTAGAATTGTAATTGCAGCAGGATATGCCCGGCCACTAACTGCTGACATAAACGGTGTCATGCCTCTTGCATCCCTATGGAAAAGAACAACAAACAAGTTCAAACACACTGATTTTTTTTGTTATAACAGGAGAGGTAGGAAACAAATATATGAAAACTTAGCACTGCCAATCTTGTGCAAAACAGAAAAAACAGGGAGTGAATAAGCACTTTTATTTGTTTTACTTCTGTGAAACATAACCAACTTTAAGAGATGGCAGGATGTAGCCAATAATCTAACATTCTCCATTTTAACTAATAAACCTTTAAATGACCTTTTTAGAAAGGCTTCTATGTAATAGATTTCAGGTGACATAACATTACAATGAATGGTGAGATTTCACATGAAAATCCTTACTTGGCTGATAGTAATTCTCGAAGATAAGGCTGTAAAACAACACTATCGCACAGTAATTTCAGTATGAAATGAGCATTTGCCTTCCGATCCTTTGATTCCACTACAGATGGTTCAGTAGAAGGACCTGTAATGAGAAAAAAAAATTGCAGAGAAACAGTTTTTCTTCAAAAAATGACTACCTATTAAAACCAAATAATTCAATATTTCACGGGGGTGATTAATCAATAGCTTGACTATTCAGTGGTTTGCATGTTACAGCAACATGTCACTGAAGTACTGCAAATTTCAGTTTTAAATTCTGAAATACAAAACAGTAATCCCAATTTCATACTGATTACCATATTTTTACATATTTGTCATTCCCCAGGTAAAAATCGTTTTTACATAAAACACAGCATAGGACTCCAGGTACTTGCTGTGCACTTGTGAAATTCTGCTTCAATCCAATCTTCATTTTCATATGCAGAAAGTCTGTGCAAGCACAGCGAGCTTTTGAGATAGTTTTCCTTCTAAAGCATAATCAGATAAGCTGTATGTCCTCACCTGGTATTGTGGAGGTGCTAGGTCCTTGGCCGGTGCCAGTCGCTGCTGTGGTAAGAGATCCCACAGCGGGGGCCAGGATAAAATCAATGTCACCATCTTTCAGTAAACAGAACAGCAGGATGTATATCAATACATAAAAACATCCCTAACAACATGCTCTTTCTGCTATGTCTAACACACCGCACGTTTTCTGTATTTAACTGTTACTCTTTCCTACACATGGCCACATTCCTAGAGTAGTAATGTAGCTCAACATTACAAAACACACTAAACAGAAGTTTGACACCAGTGTTAGAAAGACACACTGGATTTAAAAACAGCTTTTAAGTCTCCAGTAAACTCATGCCTTGCTAGCTCAATGACATTAGGTATTTCAGTTTCACACTGAAATCTAAGTGATTCATCTCAAAAACCATAGGTTCCTTTATTAAATCTCATTCTACAGTCTAATGCGATACATGAGCAGACTTACCTGGATCCATTGCAGGAGGATCTGGAACCCAGCTGGGAGGAGCTATTGGCGGAGAAACTGGGTCCTGATGATCACTTGATGAAGCACCAGCTTCATGTCTGCCCAATCCAGCCGCTCTCAAGGATCTTCGCATCATTTCCCTTAATCTCAAACTGAATACAAAACCAAGGTAAAAATATTATCTCGTTTTCATTTATAATTAGAGTATTTTAAAGCAGGTTTTCACACTGAAAAAAAGGAAACTATTCTTATCTCCATTTTATTTCAGCATAGAGAAGAATGAGCAAAGAGGTATTTTTAATTCCTGTATTCCATCTTGTTGCAACAGAATACAATGGCCTGGGAAGAAGAGTCAGTCAGCACTATACCAAGACAGATCTACGCCCAGAGCAAATCCCTAGTCACCACAGCACTGTCTCTTGCAGGGAGAGGCTGCTGATGGGTATTACCGTTATCTGACATTCCTTTTACCCCAAACTCATTGCCAGGGGTGTTAAGCTTGTGCAAGGATTTGCTCTTCTTGCTGCAATTCTTTACAATCTAACTGCATGAAGAGGTTAATGAAAGAATTAAAATGGGGCTTGAAAAAAATATAAAGGTGGTTTTGTTTAGTTTTATTAAATACACTTCCTTTTAAAAGTTATGTCTCCTACAGAATGTGGAAGGGAAGCTTCAGCCCTTACCCTTATCTCCCATATCAAAAAGATGGTGATGAGGACTGTAGCTTGGGAAGGATAAAGACATCATTTCCTGTCAATTGCTTTGACTACAGAGCTAAGTAATAAAATTATACTATGGCCTCACTCCAGAGTGCTCTGAACTGACTAGAACTCAGCACAGTTACCTTCAAATTCCCTTGATGTGAGCACCACTCAGTTACCATCATGGAAAGAGGAAGAACATAAAATTCATCAGAAATTAGGATTCTGACAGGGTCAGAAATCTATCCTTTAAAGCCACCTTGACACAAAGGGCTCTCATTATAACAATGGTTGCTTAGGAAAGAATCAATTTAAGTTCTTCCTCACTAGTGTTATATTTAACTCAGTATTGTTTATCTGTGTAAGTGACCACCTCCCTCAGAAATTATCTTAAAAGAACAAGCTTGGGCACTATTTAGTACTCTCACTTTCATTCTCCTTGGTAAAGAACACTAGAGCTAACTCCCAAATTCCCCACAAGGAGAAGCATTTCCACATCACAATGTCCTGACCCCAGAAAACAGAATTAGTTTAGAAATACCTCACCATTAGCGCTCACATCAGAAAAGGCTTCAAAAACCCACTAGAGCTCTAGTTTGGTGCTTGACAAAGTGAAATTTGACTTCAAACTAGCAATAGAGCCCATTCTTAAACTAAACTGAAGGAAAGAATGAGAGATTGGTAATGAATACAAAAATTAGCATACAGAGAACAAGAATTAGTCAGTTTACCTTCTGCTGCTTGATGATCCTGCACGATTTCCTGGACCATTACTTGACACAACAGAGATTGCATTTGCAATAGCTTCCACAGCTGAAAGCCTTTCAGCAAACGTATTCCTTTCAGAGCGTTCTGCTTCTGAAAGATTAAGAAAAGTATTAGTGTCAAAATTTCACTTGGGAAAACCATAAGGCAGGAGTTTAAAGTATGAAATGTCACTAACCATAAAATCTTTTCTGCAACTTTTTTTTCAAGATTTAGAGGGACAAAGTAGGTTCATATACCAATTTTTATTTTGGACAAGCTTAGCCATGATTCTGACTGGGTTTGGTTTCTAAAAGGCCATAAAGGAAGGAAATGCAAGGCACTCAAATTCCAGAACAAGCTTTCAGTTTTCAGTATCATCAAGAGACATGGACCTATCACGCAGCTGATTCCAAACACTTGCTGAGTCACAGCTTCAAAAGTAACGACCATCAAAAAACCCAGACCAGAATACCACAAAAAAACGCAACAAACCACCACACTTGACCCTGAACAGCTGTGAACAACAATGCAAAGCTGAGGGCCTGTAAGATCCAGACTCTACATTATAAGCATGCTTCAGAAAACTAACTGCTTTGTGAGTATAATAAGGTAGCACAATCAGTTTAGTCAGAAAGAATAAGCCTTTTTTTCTAACATCTAAAACCCCAAGCACCATAACACCTAAAGGTTCTAGTCATAACGAGGACCAAATTGTGCCAAGTGCTATACAGAATATAGAAAAATGCCTGATTATACAGTTACAGTACAACTTGAAGCAGCCACCTGAATCAAAGACCTAACATAGATTTATCTCCAAGATAAATACACAGATAAAGCAGTAAAGTCAGCTGTGCAAGGTTTGCACAGAGTAACAGTCATTGTTTCTTTAGGAGCTACTGGCAATTAAAGATCACGTAGCTACTACAGAGCAAAGTAGGAATCACTAAAGCCATGGATCCAAAAAGAAATAAGAGACACTTTCAGCCTATTACAGGCCAGAACAAGGGCAATTCTCCTTTCAACAGAGTGAACAATTTTTGGTACAAACTAGAAGGAAAAGGTGTATTTCTGATTTAAAAAAAAAAATCCCTTAAATTAACTCCAATAGTTCTTTCAGGATATGTCTCAAGGTTGCTATGGCTAATGCTCACTTTCCATTTTCAAACTGACAGTCACCGTCTTCTGCAGTCGTATTTTCCCCACTGATAGTACTAAGACCTGGACCTTAAACAAGAAGGTACCTACTAATACCTCTAACTCTGAACTGATAGAATAAGGTAATTTGATGGTGTTGGTCAGCTTTTATTGTGTTTATTCTTTAGAGCTTTCTATTCATCGCTAACTGAAGTAGCAAACTTTTTGTTTTGCTGGTCCTCAAGCATGTGCAGGTTTCTTAGACAAAAAACACCTACTACCAACAACAGACTCCAATCAATCACTTTGCATCAATCAATCAAGCACTTCACATAATATTATTCTTATGCCCCTAGTTCTATACTACCTGACCTGCAGTTGTAAATGAATTGGCATTGTACTTGTGCTGTGCTCCTTTCTAAGACCCACTCGTTCTCTTAACCCACAACCCATCACATAGTACTTCTGGACCCTTCACACAGAGGGTCAGAGCTCTTACCAGTGACACCTTAAGCAATACAAACATCCTCTGCAACAGAAATTTCACTGATTCTTAGTCCCACAGTAAACTGTAACTGCATTTTAGCTGTTCCATTTATCAAGTTAGTATTTATTTTTGGAAACTCATCCACTGTAAATGCCCTGGCTCTAAGGGTAATTTGCTGTTCTGTTGTCTATTGAAAACTCAGTTTGTAGGTGTTCAGTAAAGTTATCTGAAATTCAGTATCAGAACTCTTTAATGATTTCACATGCTTTGGACATTTCTTTTGAACCTGTCTTTTCCAAGATCCTTTCTATTGCCGTGACTGAGAAGATATCAAATCACAAAGAAACAGAGAAGCCTTCCCCGAGGCTTTACAGGTCTGGGGCCACCTTTCCTGCAATTCCTTTATCCAATGCTGCAGGAGCTATGACAAAACAAGACACTGGATCTGAGAACAACAAAAAGCTCATCCTTGCCCTCAATATTCCCTTTTCTGGCATTTAAGGAAAAACCTGTATGAAGAAGAGTGAAGGATGTCAGGCAGGCACTGATGGGAAGGGGCAATATGGTCTGTAATTGTTAAGGATCATCATATCCAGAGTCTGGAATTGAAGCCTTTATTCCTAAATCAAACTTCTTTTACAGATTAACAGCAGATGGCTGTATAACTTAGAGACAGTAGCATCAGTCAGCACCGCCCTCCAGACGATGCACAGAATATAAGACTGTCCTAAGCCTGTTAACAGTTACAGTGGAAGGTGACTGTGATTTGAATCTAAAGATATAAATCCCCTTTTAAGACAATTTTTGTGAGGGGAAAGAGAGAGGCAGAGGAGTATTAAAAGTCTATCAGGTTCATGTTTTTCATTTTTCAGAAAGTTAAATTACATCCAAATTAAGCTACTGAAAAAATGTCAAGGTTGCAAAGACAAGCACTCAAATTAGAAAAAGTCAGATTAAGTTTGCCCATGCATCCTTATTTCAGCTTCTTTGTGTGCTTTAAGTAACACAATCTTACATAGTTGAGTTTTGTTTGTTTGTTTTGGGTTGGTTTTTTGTTCTCCTCCCCCCCCCAACAAGACCCCTGCCTCAATCAGTGCACAGGATGGACGACAGACTACAGATGAAGGGTTGTACAATGAGCAAGCTGTTTATGCCTTGTTTGCTGCAGCGTAATAAGGCAGCAACAGCTTGGCAAGGAGCGGGGGGAAGCATCATCTTGTGTTTAATGCCACTGAACATCACTTTGGAGAACTGGAACCTATTTCTGCCACACATAACAGCAAACAGAACTTTGCAAAACAAATTTTTACAGATGATTGTGATACATTTTACTCATTTCTGGACACCTAAAAGGTGCTTGACTCACAGAACTAATTGACATTCACAGAACAACTAAAACTACTATTAATCCAGCTCTAAAATAAATTTACCATCTACTCAGAAAAATGAGATCAGGCCCTAGGCTTCCTTCTCAAACATAACCCTTAAAATCAGTTAATAGCTTTGAATTCAGAAAAACTTCAAGCTATGAGAAAGCTGCAGCATTACCCCCATTTTATGAATAGGGATATGAGGAACAATTAAGGTCTACAAATGACTAAAACTCAATGACAGCACCATACAAAAATCCCACAAGGAAGTTCATTCATTATTCAGTGCAGGGTTTGTATGGTGTGCAGTAAGTAGGGAATGGGGCCACACACTGAATGATGAGGATAAAAAGAAATATTGAATAGCTACCCATTCGGTGAGCACCGTCCATCTTGTGCACTGAATGAGGTAGTCCTGTGGAAAAAATAGTATGATGGTGTAATTAAAGACCATTTCACAATGCACACCCATGTATAGCACATGGGTAAACTTAATCCTGGCATCTCCTAATTATTGAGTGCTTGACTTAGCAACCTTGTTCTGTTAACATACTTTTATATAACAGTATTTAATAGACATTTTTAAATGGTGTCAGTAACTGCCATTAACAGAAAGTCATCCTTTCACATTTCTTAATACGTGCCAACTGCAAGTAGCATTTCTTACTGGAGGTATTAACATATGCTATAACACCTGAAAAATATTAAATACTGTTTCTCTTAAAAGTTTACTAGTGAGTGATACATTGGGGATACTAGTGGCATAAAGGTGGAAAAAATACTTCTTTTCATCTAAAATTAACATGTGGATGTAAAAAGTTTGTCTTCTGCAAACAATAAAAACAGCTTACTGTTGAACAAATTAACTACTGAATTCTTATAAATCCTTAAAAGAATAATACAAATGTTGTCTCAGCACCTTTGAAAGGCTAGGACGCATTTTAAGTGCTAAACTTTAAGATACCCATATATGAAGAATTCAGCCTTTATTTCAAACGTTCTTGAAAATGCATGGAGTTTATTTTCAAATTATTTTCATGAGATTGTTGAGCTCACCCTCTTCCTCTTTCGTTTCTTTGTTGCTGGTTGGAAAGCATACAGACACACAAGCATGCAGAATATTGCGGTTTCCGTCACATCTGTGGCCAAGGAACGTTTGCAGCACTTGGGGATTCTGATCCAGGACAACTGCTTGCTCAAGATTCATCAAGTATTGTCTACAAGCCTCATAGTCACACCGGAGAATGTGCTGCATTAACGTTTGCTTCTGTACTCAAAAGAACAAAATATTTTAGCAACTCCAAATACAAAAAGCAGAGATGCAACTTTGCTAAGTACTTCTAATTTCCATTTTTTTTAATTAATAGAAAGGTCTAGGACACTCGCTGGAAGTCAGTGCAGGAGCTGCTGAGGATAGGCATCATCTCAATTACAGCACTGTTAAAACCTGAAAACAGCAGGCATTCAGGCACAGACAAGCTAAAGGAAAGGAGAGGCTTAAGCACCAGAAGCCATCAGGCTCACACCAGCGTGCCTTTGGCTTCATAGCCAGGTTCCTAAGATGGATCACTTCTATTTCATGGCTACACATGAGATGGGAAAAGCAGTACAACTGAAAAAACTAAGGCATCGACATTAACTAGAGCTTACATATTTGTTTTAAGTAAGTGATACACACACTGACAAGCGAACAAATAGAAGCTGTGGAAAGTCTGGAAGACTCACCCTGTATGTAATAAGCTTTTCCACAGTGGTTGAATATTCCACTGTGAAATCAATCTCAGTCTAACAGGTACACAATATCTCCTGCTGGCAACATCATACACGGCAGATTAAACTGCACCAAATCACTGACAGATTTATACAAGTATTATACACAAATCCACAGCAGAACTATTTATACAGACCACAAATGAGTACAGAACTCTACAGGCAATTCAAGTGGAAAAAAAATCTTCACTTGACTCTCATGATTTCCTAATGTATGGTTCAAATATAAGGTTAAAACATAAGAAAAAAAAAGAACTGCATTCACAAGAAAACAAGTTGTTGGATCCCTCAGAAAAAAGTGCACCCATATAACGAATAAAATTGTATACTCTTGGCATACATAAAAATGTAACAGTTTTAAAAGTAGTGCCTAAGAAAATATTACTAGTTAAAAGCCTGATACAGAAGCCATGCACCCCCAAAACCAATCTTTCACTTTACTACATAAATTTGTGTTTTCGTGTTTCTAAGAGAATCTTTGGCTGAAACTAGTTTCTTTGAAATAGAGAAAATACAAATAGATCTGAACACAAAGCTGCTTTAAGCATAACTTTATAAAAGCAAGAGGAAAAAAACACAATTCAGTAGAAAAGAAAATATTTTACCTCAACAGCCATAATGATAATAGCAGCTTTCTTTTTGATGGTCGAGTTAGCAGGAAGATTTGTTAAGGAATGAACACCCATTCCAAGACTACTAATAGGTGGAAGATCAAGCCAGTCAGGGTCTCGTATCCCACCCATACAATCTTTTGCCATTGGATAGATTGTACCATTTCCATCTCTAAGAATAATAGGAGATTCCTAAATATGGGGGGGAAGAAAAGTTTTAACGTTAAGTCTCCACATTTTATAAGTACTGTACTTCCCAAAAGGTCCAGTTCTGCTTGACTGCCAACAGTAAGAACAGTTTACCTAAAATTCTCATTTATGCCATTGTTTCTTGTCATTACAAGTGGCGCAGCATAAGATACCAATTCCCTTTCTCAAATGCCTGAAGTGTGCTTAACGTATTAAGTACTATTAAAAGTAACTTTTTTATGACATACACTCATTACAAAACATTACCAGTAAACCATATAGTACCTATACTTTTAGCTTATTTAAATGCTACAAAGAAATTTGAATATATTGAAATGAAATATTCAAATTCAGTTCTTTTGCCAAAAATGTTTCCTTCAACTATCCTAAGCAAAGTATACTGTGTTTGTGGAAGGTACTAAATGGTTTTGTTATCTTTTCTCAGTCCCCTTCATGGATGCCTGAACAGTGAAATCAAGCTGTATAATCAGATAAAATGAGACACTTAACATTAGATACTAGAAAAAGTTGCACAAAGCCCAAACCCATCATTTTTATTATCAAATACTGATTTTTTTTTGTTTATGTTTCCATTTATTCTCAAGAGTGGATTTTCATCTGACTCAATTCCAAGATGTAGCTAGATAACAAGTTTACACTAACACAGGAACTACTCTGTCAAGTTTTTTTCTCCCTTTTTTACTTTCCATTCAAGGTAGAATTTGAGTAAGATTACTAAAAGTGCTTAAGTGAATTAGATTGTTATTCCCCTCGTGCCTTCAAAATATAAATGGTAGTCTTTCATAACCCATTTGAAGAAACACCGTTTGCCAGCCTTTGGAAAAGCCTTACAAAAGGCTGTACCATCCCATTCAAAGATGACGGAAGTGAAGTGCAGTGAGGTTAAATGATTGAGATACAAAACCACAAACCTGTCCAGCTGTAAAAATAGCAACACTTCTCTCATTCTGACCCAGGAATGCAATGCTGCTAGTAGGGAAATTATTTTCCTGCTCAGCCTTTCCTGTGGCAAGGTCAAATATGCAGTATCGAACCCAGTTCCCAGTTTTCAGAACAGCATGCACTCCTTCAAAGATACATGAAGAAAAAAGTTAATGTCTTTTACTGATGTCATCCAGTAAAAGAACTCCTAACTAAAGCATTTTTAAGGAATTACTAGTATCAATCGAAACGACTGTTTATGTTAGCTAGACAGTTTTGCACTAGGAAGAGAGACAGGTAATAAAGGATTCAACACACTATCTTACGGGGTAAATCCTACTTACCTTTTGAATCTACATTTACTGCTAGGATCTCTGTTTTTTCAGGAATACACAGCTTTTTAGGTGTCCTTTGAAAGCAGTCAGGAACTTTTGGAGTTCCACCAGTTTTTACAACCTGAAAACATACGTAAAATTTTAAGATGCAATTAAGCGCACAGCGCTGACATTTCCAGATACCGGTTGTTTTCTCAGCATTTCACAAAGACATACCTGCAGTTCGTCTATTCTGAGCAGCCTACAGTCTTGAAGAAGAGAAGAAGGATCAGGGTCTGAATTTGAACTGCTCTGGCAGTTTGCATTACTGGAGGTGCCTGGAAATTTCACAGCAACGTAAGCACCATCCACTTTTAGCACCTACAAGAAGAACACATTACAGTTTTACCAAAAGCTCTGAACAGAAACTGTTTAGATTTATTTGCTTCAAAATAAATCAGACTTTTATCACGAAAAGAAAAACATTTACAGCAACCAGTGATAAAATTGTACAGCTCTTTGTCATTGGCCTTTTTGATTTGCTAAAATTACTGAAATTTAAACACGTGTGTGTTTCTTAATGACTTCACAAGCAATCTGATTCAGATCAAAGGTCCCTGCATTTCAACATCCTATGTCTAACAGGAACCAAACACCAACTGCCTAGAGAAGCTCCTACGGATACTTCCCTGGTATCCTTCCAGTTTCCATCTACCGGAAACAGCAGGATAACTTCATGTTTAATAGCCTGGAGAGACCCTTCTCTTACTAATTTGTCCAATCAGTTCTGCAAAAAATACACTATCCTTGTGGCAATGAGTTCCAAACGCTGGCTAACAATTCAACAAAAAAAAACAACTACACCGAGCCTCTTACTTTTATAAGTGCCCATTAGCTCCTGTGCTACAAGGAACAGGAAATCAGTCTGCCTTTTTTTTGGTCCTAGCTAAGAATTTTTAAAGCCTCTGTTACAGTCTTAGTGCTCATTCCTCAAGATGACTGCGCACAGTGGAAAAAAGAAATGTTGGTTTATGGGGCTATGACCTGTTCCTTACACTCAATGATGAAGTTATCCACTCAGTCCCTTAGGGCAGAAGGACACAGCCAAGTCTCTCCAGACACACTTCATGCGTCTGTGTCTTTCTCTGCCCCAAGGAAATAGAAATTATTCAGCCCCACGCTGGCAGAGTCATTTCTGAACCTGTAAGGCTCTCTGAAGAGCTGCTGCCACGCATATCTAATCAGAACTGTCAAAAAGGGTTTCCTTGATACAGAAACATCTCATGCTATCACCAAACAGCAAGGCCCTTGGAGTTTCAGGTTAAGACCATTATTTGCTCAAAAGGAAAACAAAGCTAAGAGGGAAGGAGGCAGGGGGGAGGACAGGCAATGTTCAATTTTGAGTAGAAATGGGCTCTCAGTATGGTCTCAATCTTGATCAAAATTAGATACAGGCAACCATCAATCTTGATTAGGCCCTAATTTCTCAATAGTTTCTACACAGAAAGTGCTTACAAAGCAACATTAATGATTTAGATGCAATCAACTTTTTAGATAAAGTCCCTGACAATAAAAACCATCTCTCAAATTTTCAAGATATTATAGGTAATAAAAATCCAGGCATTTCCACATTTTCTTCCAATTTCTCTAGCTAGCTGCAGCCAATCAAGAATATCAGAGAAAAGAACATATTGACAAATACGAAGGTATTAGCAGATGTGTAACAAATATTACTGTGGATAAAGTTGGAGCACTTGCTCCCCGTATGCTGAAGTGTCACTCTAGTAGCAGAGTTTCTAGTTGGAGCAGTAGAGCATCGCTGATGGCTGTAAGAATACTAGCCAAAAGTTTCAAAATTCAGACCTAGGCAAATGATCTATAAACATTAACTCTGATCTAGACTATACAAGGACAGATTTCTATTGAAACTTGCAAGACAACACTCTAGACAAAAACTGTGATTATGTAAAAAAATTAATAAACTAATTAATAAACTAAACAAGATAAATGAGCAACATCAACATTCCTCTTTCACTTAAATTATCTAAGTCTGAATTAATTGATTAATAAAGGTACATTTAGACGTTTTAAAGGCAATCGGACTAAATCGTAAGCTTGAAATCACATTCCAATGGTTCAACCACAGCTTCTAGCCTGATATATGTTTTTAGTTTGCTGTTTGTTTTGTTGTTTGGTTGTTTGTTGTGGGTTTTTTTCCTAAGTGTTGCTACAAAAGTTTTGTAACTTTGGTCTGCTTCTGAAAACAGAAGATTCAAAATGATCAAGTACCAACTACCTGGCCCATAGCAGGGCTTATGAAATCTTGCTTGTGAAGCTCCAAATGTATTACTGGGGCGTGGGGGGAAGAAACACACCTTAAAAAAAAGGCACAATTCCCAAAATTTTTAAAGCATCCTATCTCCATAACTGTAAGTTTTCTTATACATGCTTTCTGCCTGCCCTTAGTGTTATCACCTACATCACATGTCACTTACACCACTTTTTAAAGTCCTGGAACTCCACAGTGACTCAGAGTCCACATGCCATTTTGTTTCTTTCTTATTTTGTAGTTCAAAAAGAAAATAACATATTTTCTAGTTTTTAAAAAGACATTTATTAAAATCTGGTTGAGAATAAATTCACCTCTTCAAAGGGCAATTAAAATGCAGTTCTTCAGGTTAAGCAGTTACTACTACAGCTACTGACTGCTACACAGAAAGAAAATAAAATTATCCATTGATGTAGCAAGCAACCAGGAGCCGGAGTGAACCATCAGATAGCAACTGTGCCTAGAAAGCTCCAAAGCAGAAATGCGATATAATGGGCTGGCAACTAAACAAGATAAATGAGCAACATCAACA